CCCCCCACCCGCCTGTTTGACTACATTTGAATATATACCATTGTTTTGGTTTTTTTAATGTGGTTTTAATGAATCGCACAGACCTTTGAAACCGTGTTTTTTATTTGCCACTTTTTTAAATTTTTTAATTAATTCATGAGTTGTATGGATCTCTTGGCATCCTCTATATGGTAGAAAATCACGTTAGCATGCACCACGTTATTCCAAGGAATCAATGAGGACCTGGAGGGGGAAAAGCAGATCATTATGATAATTATTGGCGGAGCAGTGAGCTACAACATTTACACAAATGGCATTTAAAGTGTGTGTGCTGGTGCCGGTAATAGAGGTCTATGGCCTCCAGTGAGAGAGTGCTGTAACTGGAAGGGGACTCTTTCTTGCCTGTGGACTATTGCTGCAGGATCAATACGGCATACCAAACAGCAAAACTGAACAAAGACGTATGTTTTATCAGCCCTAACTAGTTTGCTGCTATTACGGGTTTTATGGATAGAATGGAATACTCACCCTTTAAACTAAAAATTTTATTATTTTTAACGTGATATTTAAGGCAAACGTTTTTTAAGCTATTTCAAATGCTGATGGAAACAAATTAAATGGATGCTGCTAATTGACGTTTAACAGTTTTAGTTTCCTGCAGAATCAGCTGGTCCCCTGAGCACTGGCCCTGATATCCTGTTTTAGGGTGGCTCCTTTCCCTTGCAGGGTCTTATGGAGTCACCTTTGTGTGTGTTAGTAAGCTGTGTGTGTCTCCACAAACACAGCAAGGCAATTCCCTTCCCCTGCCCCTCCCTTTTCCCTCTTCCCTTCTCTCTACCCCGAGCTAGTAAATGGACAACCGCTGAAGACTGCTTTGTTCCCTTTAGCTTGTACTGGACAGGAAGTTCAGGGAAGTGGATCTGAGAGAGTTGGAGCTGTTTGGAAACATGATTCCTGTAAGTAACAACATAAAGAAATACTTTGCTGGGCAATGTTTTATTGTTTCATCTGGATTCATTATTGAATAAAAGTGTAAGAGTTTAATACCACGTTAAAGCTGAACTCCAGGCTGATATAAATGACACATTAATTCAGCTCTGCATTCATTAATACATCTTTTTTTATTGTAAGTAGTGTAAGTACAGGAATTTTCAGCCTCTTGCAGTCTCTTGCTGCAGTATTTATATGGCAACATGGAGCTTGCTGAAAGGAGAGAGCAGAGTGAGAGAGGGATGAGCTCATCACTCTGCTGCTTCTCCTTTCACTGTCCAGTCACAGGGAGAGGGACAAGACCCCTAGGTATTATTTAACTGTTGCAGAGGGCATGAGGCTTTCACAAATACATGCTGGCACTGTCTGTCGGTATGTAATTTTGTATTGCATCTGCAGGAGCGCTGATAAGAGTGACAACTTTCTGCATGCTGTGCCGGGGCCAATACAGTAAGCATTGTTACCATGATAAAGTAAGTGGTATTTTGAGCAGTAGGTTGTTCATCTTGCAAGGCAATTTTCCCCTTATCTTACTGAATAAGGTGAAGCTCTGCTGACCTCCATCATCCAAACATGTACAAGCATCTTTTTTAATATTTCTTTCTCATAATTGAGTATTCTTTGCAGAGTGAATTTCCTCCCCATTCACTAAGCTAAGGGAGAATTCCCTTGCAGAGCCAATAGCCTATTTTCTTGTAGTAAATCAACCGAAGTACGGCTGGCCATACACTGTTAAATTTCAGCCGATTTAGTTTAATTCTTAGAGCCGGTGGCCCTGCTGGCTTGACACAAGTCAATTACTCATTAGACTTTTGTCAAAGTAAATTTTTGGCCAAATACTGAC